TGGAACAGCTGGAAACCTAATGTGTCACTGCCACAAATGTAAACTGGTGTTTCTACTAGAAACTAATGGCAGCTTTTTATGAAGTGTACATTTAACATATGATCAGAAGTTCTCTCCTAGGTATCAACTGAAATAAGAATATATATTTATGTACACATTAATGTATCAGGAGTCACAGTAGCATCATTTACTTGTTTGTTTTTGTGTATTTGGTTTTTTTTTTTTTTTGCAGATCCAGGGATTGAATTCAGGCCCTTGCACTTGCCAGGGAAGAGCTTATTCCACTGAGCTATCTTCCTGACCCCTGTTTTTATGTATTTGGTACAGGGTCTCACTGTGCAGCTCAGACTTGTACTGATCCTCCTGTTTTCAGCCTCTCCGGTGTTGGGATTACAGGTGTGCACCACCATGCCCAGTTTCAGGGGCCAGCTCAGCATGCCCGGAGTCAGGGCCGGTGCAGCATGTGGTGCTGGGGATTGAACCCTGGTCCTTGTGCTTGCCTAAGCAGGTGCTTGGTCTGCTGAGCTATCTCACCAGTAGCATCATTTAAATGGCCTCAAATTGGGGAGAACCCAAATATCCCTTTACCTACAAGTAGATACAAAATGCATTATATTATAGAATATCGCTCACAAAGGCAAAGGAACAGATTGTTGATACACTGACACGGATGAGTTTCAAAACTACCATATATGAAAGAAGCCAAAGACAAAACTTTACATATGATTCCCTTCCTGTGAAATTCCAAAAGAGGCAAAAGTTTATTTTTATTAACCAGAGGATTGCCTGGGCCCTGTCTGAGCAGGGAAATGACTTTAAAGAGGCCTGAAGGACCTTTATGAGGTTGATGACAATGTTCTATATTTGATTACAGGTTTTGGTTATCTGACTATATAAAGAATTCATCAATCAATAGACTTAAAATGAGTACATTTTATTTAATTCAGTAAAGCTGGTAAAAAAAAAAAGATAGTCAACATAGAAAAGGTTTCTTTGTGTTCATTTATAAATGTATCTCAGGTTATCAATGGACTTGAATGTGTTTGTTGAGATTATGCTGTAGTTTATTTAAAGTTGTTCTCATTTTGGGAAAGATGCTTACTGAAGAAATAAGTAATGAGTTTGGTGGGTCACACTCACTATGTGAGCATTCCAAAAAGGCTTTTTGGTAAGGGGAGATTTGAGCAAACATAGAGGAAGTAATCTTTGTACGTGCCTTATGTACCTCTTACTGAATTTCTTTTTTTTTTAGGGAAGGGTCTGCAGGGTTTTCAGGGTCTCACTACTAGATTGGACTCATAGTGATTCTCCTGCTTACAGCTTCCCAAGTGTTGGGATTACAGGCACGTGTCACCACGCCCAGTCTTCTCTTACTGAATTTCTGCCTACCTGTTTTATAGTTTCCGTTGCTATTATGAATTCATCTTTTTCTTTTCTTATTGCAGTGGCTAATCTTAGTCCTAAATTGAGTTTTGTTTGTACCTTCATTTGCCTTATACTCTCTAATTTTGATTCTACACAATGTGTGTGTCACTGCCCTGCAGTTCTTCATTCCCTGCTGTGTTCCCATGGTGTGGTCAGTCCATTCATTTGAGTGGTTTTTGCTGAGACCCATCAGATCCTTGCGGTACGTGCTCACTTGTGTTTTTCCTTATCTCAGCACCAACTGTAAGTAGAACCTAAAGAAGGCCTCAAAGGCAATGGTCCTGAGAATCTTCAGCATGTTTTTGAAAATAGCAGTTAATTGGTAGGTTTCTTACCCTTGACTATATATTTGCCAGTCAAGCGCTTATCCTACTGAGCCATCTCCCCAGCCCCCCAGATTTCTAAATTTTTGTGTAAAACATATGTAAATGCTTATTGTTATTTTTTTTAATTTTTTTTGTCTTTTTAATGTTTTTTCTTCATATTCTGGAGAGACTCAAAGTTTAACATATCAATACTTGATGGAAACTACCTGTTCCATGTTATGTCTAAGATGTTTAATATTCAGACAGATTTAAGCTCAACTGCCTATGTTATAGGGTAATAATATCATTAAGCTTCTCTTCTGGAGGGTTAACAACTTATGTTTGTAGACCAAAAATTAAAGAAAAAGAAGGGCTACAAGGACAGCCAACATTTTGGCCCTAGCCTTTCAAGGTCAGTAAGGACTCAGGAAATAGGAGAACCTGTACTGTAACATCCTGTAACTCAGTTTTGTCCCAAATTTTCTGATCAAGAAGATTTTGGGGCCACAGAGGAAAGTGATCGATGATGTAGATAGAGTGTGCCTAAGGAGAGTCACATGGAGAGAAAACATTCTCTCAGACTTTCACAGAGAGCAAATTGGTCAAGCAATGGCCGTGACTCATTCATATGGCTGACACTGACAAAGAATCTACAAAGTGAGGTACAAAGTTTCAGGTTAAATCCTGAGGGGATTTGACCGACCTTATCAGATACAAAAGTTACATTACTTGTTATATAGGTCTTGCTCTTTCTTGGTCTTAACCGTCCAGCAGAAAAGTCTGAAAATGAAGTATAAAAAGTAAAGCCATGGGGCTGGAGAGATGGCTCAGTGGTCTAAAGCACCTATTTAGAACAAGCTTAGCAAAAGCATCAGGGACCGCGGTTCAATCCCCCAGCACCACATGCCAGCCAGCCCTGCCCCCTGGTGGGCTGAGCTGGCC